TAAGCCCACCACCCGTAGATATTGTTCACTTTGGGCTTTCCCTTCTGGGATTTCCTCAAGGTTTTAAAATGTGTCTATTAGGGAGAGGTTTCTACATCTTTATAAAAAAAAAATACTTCGTTCCCCTCTCCAACCGATGTGGGATCTCACAGGTTCTTAGAGTTTTTCGTAGTCACAACAAATTTAAACTTCTGTAGTCACCTCTAACGTGTTTGACCACCACCGAGGTCAACTCTGATTGTTAGTAACAATATTACAAGTACATAACAAAATAGTAGGCATTAAATCAACAAAAAGAGCCATTTTCATCCATGAAAATCAAAAGACAAGACCTCAGTTTATAATTCATTCAAAATTAAAATTAAACCGTATATGATCATCTTAACAAATATTAATCTCAATTAACAAATTTAATTAATGAATTATTTATTGCTTAAAAAAGGACATCTATTATATGTATATATATAAAGGGTAAAATATTAAATTAAAATTCAAGCATTTTCATGATTAAATAAAAATAAACATTAGAAAAAAAAATTAATAACTCAAATAATGTATTTTTTTTATTAATATATGTTTTTTCTCGAATTATTTAGAAGTATTTAAAATATAATGTTATAAACTAAAAAATAATATTAACACATAATATTTAGATAAGATCGAGAAATAAAAAATAAAAATATATATTTTCTAATGTCTATATTCGAAAAAAAAAATAAAAAGAAACTCTAATTTTAATTAAGGGAGCGCCGTATAATGATTAAATTTATTTTAAAATTAAAGTTTCGTTTCATAATTATTTTATTATTAATTTTTAGCTTTTTAAAAAATTTGTAAATTTTTTTTATTTTAAAAAAGAAATTTATTATTATTATTATTATTTTGGGACCACTTTCAGTCTCTTCGGATATCTCTGATGACAGACACGGTACAAATATTTCAATACTTTAACCTACCCCTCTTCAATAATTCAAGCAATATGCCTCATTAATTTCCCCAAAATAAATAAATAAATAATAATATAATATAATATAATATAAAGTTTTTTTTTTTTTTTAAATTTCTTTTCCAATTTTTTTCTTTTATTTAATTAATTATTGTTATCTGATTAATAAATATTATATGTGATAAGCACGAAGTAAAAATATTTCAGTTCTAGAGCTGGCCAAAGAACGTCGACCAAATGCTTTGATATCAAATGATAAGTGCCAACAATACTGGATTTTCAAAGTTAGAGGTTTTTTTAGTATCCTTACAAACTTTCACAATAAAAGCACACTTAAGGAATGATTTCAACCTAGCGCCGGTTAGAATGATGAATAACTCTTAGATCGAACTTGAAATCTATGATGGTCACTCTTAGTTTCAAGACGACTCACTCCAGAATTAGCTTGATCATGATTAATCCAATGAATCGATTTTAACATCAATCCTAAAACAAGGTTCGAAAGAAACATAACATAAGGTTTTTGTATTCCACCATCATTTTAAACCAAAGACAAAAAGTCATCAAATCATTTTCCAACATCAAGTGATATTGATTGTCGCTGGTTTTTTTTTTTTTTTTTTTTTTTTCTTGATCTGATACTTAAATATTCTTCGTAAATGATCAGCGGTTGAATTCGTTTCTTAAAACCTTTGTCAAACTCTGCTTTCCAATAATATATGTTGGAAAGTAATTTATTTTATTAAACAGCAAAAGTACAATAATATATGTTGTACACCATAATTATTTATTATATTTTATTAACAATTATAATATATTTGCAACCAAGTACAATTTTTAATTTTTAATTTATACTTTTAAATAAATAACATCATTTACCACAAATTATTTTATATCTTTGTATTCCATCACACGTGCCACTCACCCAACACGAAAAAATATATATTTTAATTAAAATCTTATTTATATTTCAATTCAAAATTAATCTTTAAAAAATATAACAGCTCGATAGAACTTAAAATTTGTTCTATCAATCAAGAGTTTTACGTCGTTATGAATTTGTGGACTATGAACAATAAAGATTTTCCGTCCCCACAAAATCACTTTTCTTTTTTCTTTTTGTTTTTCTTTTTTTGTTAGGGTGGGGATGACGTCTAATTTCATAATGGTATTTTACCCTTTATAGAATGGTCCCTAATTTATTTTTTATTTATTTACAAAATTTATAGCTGGCCATTTTATTTCCAATTTATCTGCATTAAATTCATTAAAAAATCATTAAAAATACTACTGAAGCGACGTGTCAGTAAATAATATATTTTTATAATTAAATAATCATTAAAAAATCATATTGAAAAAGTTTTTTAAATATTTATTTCATTTAATTAAGGTGATCGACTAATAATAACTGTCGGATGTAAGTTGATGATTTATGTGTTCATAATAACCGATAAAAATTAAAATTAAATAGACGGTCGGACATAAAAATTAATATTAAATAATTATAAAATGAAAAGACATAAATGCCCCTCCATTGGATTCTTTTTCCGAAGTGGGATAGTTGTGGGAAACTGTAAATAGAATCAGAATCGGAATCAGCGTGCGAGTATTCAAGTAGATTTGACAGTGAAAAAGAGGGGCTAAACAGTAACTTTGCCTTTTTTTTTATTTAATAATTTTTTAATTAAATTATGAATTATCTTAATTTTTTAGAATTATATATATATATATATATATATATTTTTTTTGCATTTAAAAAAATCACAAAATAATAATAATAATTTTTTTTTATAATAAAATTTTATATGATTGAGTGTCGTCCCTAGAAATATTAATATTTAGTGTTAATTTAATTGGTTTCAAGTCGTATACGTCTCGTTCTCTTGTCTGATGTTTTAGTTTTCTATGTATCGTGTTTTATTTCTGGTAAAGATTTATTTTAAATTTTATTTATTTTTGAATCAATTAAATGGTTGAGAACGAAAGAATATGTGGTTGAAAGATTGATTATCAATTAAATGGTTAAAAAAATGTATTTTTGCTTAGTAATTTGTAATTGATTATCATGTCGGGTATATATTTATATAACCAAATATTTCCGTAACGATAATCCACTAATAAAATAAATTGGCTAACTTTCCGAGATTTTCTTATCCAACTTAGAGAGAAAAATTATGCATTATTGGTGAAATTGAAGCTTAAAAACAAAATACAAGAAGAACCGAACCATTGAGAAAAAGAGAGTTTTGACCGAAGCGTAAATTCACTTGGGTCGACCTCATAAGGGGTACTCGCTTGCATGCCTTTAGACTCGACACTTGTTGGCCTCGACATCCTGACAAACCAACAGTTCTTTTAGTATTTTCAAGATGGAGTTCTTATGATCGAGCCACTGAAAAGAAAAATACACCTTGTTGGTATAGGTAGTGACTTTCAATTCTTTTAAGCCTTTTTTAGTCATTATGTCCTTAGGATCGCTCTCATTCAAATATGGTCTCGGTTCATTCATGTACTAATTGACTCGGGTGTCAAATTATCAGTCTTGTCCCTTTTTTAACCTAACTCGAAAAGAAACAGATGAAACCCTAATTCAAATAGACATGCAAATATGCTGCTTTAACCGAGAAGGCAATTTCTAAATCAAATTTTGTTAACTTAAGCTTCGGAGCTAGTGTGACAATCACTACACTAATGTATCGCTTTTCTTCTTCTATTGCTGGCCACATTCTTCCTATTTCAAACAAATTCTACTCTAGTCGTTAGGTAATGGTCAGATAGGTTACTTTATCTCAATTTTGACAACAACAGTTTTACGGGACAAACCTATATTTTAAAGAGAAAAACAACATCGGTCAAAGATTAAAAGAAAAAAAAGTCGATTAATTTGGACCAATACTACTAATAGAGTCCAATGGTCCAATATCTACCGTCCCGTGTAACAAAACTGAGTTAAACATCGAGTAAAAAGGTCTCTAAATAAAAACATTGAGCAACCGTCTACGTCTAAGTCCATCACTAGCAGATATTGTCTTATTTGGGTTTTTCCTTCAAGGCTTCAAACGCGTCTATCAGGAAGGTTTTCACACCCTTATAAAGAATGTTTTATTCCCCAGTCCGACTAAACAGATTATTAGATTAATTAGTCACTAATTTAATATTATAATAAATCTCCAACATCCTTAAAACAAGAAACATTTATAGACAAAGATACGGTTGTTGCACATTAAAAAGATTTCATGTTCTATAGTCTCAATCATGTGGGGACAACGGGCAAACAGTTAAACTTGACCACGTGCTCGTTATTCGATGTACAATGCAAAAAGTTGTAATAGACACTTTAGAGAATACTATGAAACCCATATAGCAGTATAATAAAATGTATCAGTGTGAAACGTAACAGATAAACGGTTGAGATTAATCTACAAATAGACACATCTACTCACAAAGTGTACGTTGAATGTCTATAAATATAAGCCATCATTCCCAAAGCGTTCTCACCTCTCCTCGAGCTATTTTATTTTCATTATTATATCGGAGTTTCCATAGAGGTCTTGAAAATTTTCGTACATATGTTCGATTCACTTGTTAAGGTTAGTAGATTATTGCTGTTTTTTAATCTTTTTGAGAGGCAGTCGACTTTTTTACTAAACGTATGGACAATTGACGTGTTTCGGATATTGATCATTCTCTGTGTATGTGTGTGTTCTATTGAATATACTGTACGGTTAATATACCGTACCTAAAAGATTATATATGGGTTTTGTATATTGGGTTAACTAATTAACACGAGTATAGCTCAATCAGGTAAAATATATATTTCTGATCGAGAAGCTCGATCGCTCGGGTGCACGGTTTATAAAAATTATTTTTTTAATTAAATAATATATATTTGGTATATCCCGCCGGACCCAATTGAGTTGGGGGAAATTTTTTTGTCCTTTTTCCGCACTTTTTGTTTTTGTTTTTTTTTTTTTTCACTAATTATTTTATTTATTTTATTCCTAAATTTTCTCGTATTTTAAAATCATTTCCCGTCATTTTCTCTCCTATAAATTCACCCTTCCCCGCCTTCTCCAACCGCCTCCTCTCGTCTCCGCCGCTCTTTCTCTATCTGCCGTCGGATTTCCGCCGTTTTCTCGGAATCTCATCCCCTTACCTCGTCGCTCCTCCTCTTAGATGTTTAATCGCTTGTTCTCGATGTTTCAGATTCATGTTTCCGATTCTTAGTGAAATTCTCCGTTCCGGTTTTATGATCAATTCTTCTCTCCGACGCCGTACGCATTTGGTTCAATCTTTCTCCGTCGTCTTCCTCTACTGGTTCTACGTCTTCTCGTGAACTTCCTCGATTTCTCTGCCTGAAATTATCGAGATTACCAGATCGGTTATTGATTCGGAGATTGTTAATTTCTTTGTATTGTTCTTATTTTCGTTTTCGATTTAGGTTTTTTTTCTTTCTGCGGTAGATTAGATATTCTGTAATTTGTGTTGTGCTCTGCTGTAAGTTGCATTGTTATCATCTATCATCTTCATCTCTATGGCTTCTTCGAGCGGAAATTCCTCTGGTTCCACTAGGCTTCTAAACTCAGGCTCTGAAGAGGATTTGCAGATTCTGATGGATCAGAGGAAACGGAAAAGAATGCAATCGAATCGTGAATCAGCGAGGCGATCTCGAATGCGGAAGCAACAGCATCTGGACGAATTGATGGCGCAAGTGGCTCGATTACGGAAGGATAACGCTCAGATTCTCTCGAATATCAACATTACATCGCAGCTTTATATGAATGTCGAGGCAGAGAACTCGATTCTGAGAGCTCAAATGGAGGAACTGACGCAGAGATTGCAATCGCTCGAGGAGATCTCTAATTGCATCGACATCGGCGGCAACAATGGCGGATTTGGAGAAGCGGAGGAGGAAGCATTTCAGATTCAGACTAATGCGGCCACCGATAGCTTCATGAACTCGATGAATTTTCTGTATGTCAACCAGCCGATCATGGCCACTGCTGATATCTTCCATTATTGAGTTCTGAAGGTTTAATTTCTTGATAAGATCTGTGTGTTGGAAAAATATGTATCGATCTTCTGGTGATTTCCTTGGGATTATTGGAACAATGTTAATCAGATTCAGATGTGTTGGAGGAAGTAGAAATGGGGTCCATAGTTGAAATTATTTCTGTTCAAGGGAGTATTTTGTGCAAATCTCAACAAAGTTATGATCCTCTTTAATTATTGTTTATGCATTCTAACACGCAACCGGAGCATAAACTGTTGGATTGTGAACTTGAACTTTTTCAAGTCGTGTGCATCCCTAACTCAAACTCTATTTTATATCAATTTTATTTTTTATATTGGTGTTTATTTTTCAATAATTTTTGTATAATAATTTCTAAATGAATGTTCGTTGTCCGTGCTATTGCATGAGTTAAAAGTCTCTAATTCTTTGAAATATCTCGAATTTGTATGAAGCGTGACTTCTTCAAATTATATGACAAACAAAAAATTTGATCAAATTTCGTATTGCTCGATCATAAGATACCCCCTCGTAGGTGATGTAGTGCTTAATAATATTATCATATTAATCTATATAATTCGAACTTGACCATCCATCAGCATTTACTAAAGCATAAACTACAAAAATCTCCACGTAAATTGCTTCACGCTCTCTAAAGTGTAAGCAGGGTTGACCTGTCTTCATGTCGAAGATTTGGGTTATGCATAGTTTCGTGTTACAGATTTTTTATACCACTTGTTTCATGCAAAATTATCTTAGTATTCTATTGAGTAGATAACACTAAATAATATGAAAACATACATGTGAACTTATTATGTCGGGCAGATCTATGAATAGGAGATATTGTGCTAGTATCTACCTGACCCAAATTATCAATAGGCTCTTAAAGAAGGTTGAAAATTCGGCCGAGAGTTGCTTCACCAATGGGAACACTTACAGGAGCTCTCGCGTCAACTACTTCCATTCCTCTCATTAGACGATCAGTAGTATTTAGAACTAAAATTCTTTTTATCCGACATTAGTTTGGAACCACGTGCATCTAAAGTACCTTTTACTTTGATCAATGCAGTTATATGTAAATATAAAGTAATAACATGGTGAACGAACTAGACTTAAAAATCCTATTATTAAAAATATTAGATTAAAAGGGTCCATCATCCTAAAATTTATTTATTTATTTTTTTCACAAATATTCACTTGTATATTTCGTACGTCATGTCGTCCGGTTATCAAATGGGAGAGAAACGAAGAAAATTAAAAAACTATTGTCAGAAGTGGGATTTGAACCCACGCCCTCTTTAAAGGACCAAAGTCGGGCGCCTTAGACCACTCGGCCATCCTGACGTTTTTGTACAATAATTTGAGACAGAAATTATACTAAGCTTATTAATAAAAATTGCCCAAAGGCCCGATAACGAAATGTGAACGTCATGTCGTCCGGTTATCAAAGGGGAGAAGGCAAATTGAAAAACGAAGAAAATTAAGGAAAATTTGTCAGAAGTGGGATTTGAACCCACGCCCTCTTTCGAAGACCAGAACTTGAGTCTGGCGCCTTAGACCACTCGGCCATCCTGACATTTTTGTACAATAATTACAAATTTTAAGTTAATTAATCTATTCACCCCATTTCATTTTGCTCCTGACAATATATAATAATTAATAATTAAAAAACAAATCTTAAAATAATTAATAATTACTTCCTACACGTGTCAAAAAAATTCATGAACCTTCTAAACATAATACTTAAGAACTAGCGAAACAGAGACTGATTGTCGTTGGTCTTCTGCCAAGCCCATGAGTAGAAAATGGCCCAAAGGCCCAAGAATGAAATGTGAACGTCATGTCGTCCGGTTATCAAATGGAACACAAATTAAAAGCGAAAAATATTCAAAAACAACTGTCAGAAGTGGGATTTGAACCCACGCCCTCTCTCGAAGACCAGAACTTGAGTCTGGCGCCTTAGACCACTCGGCCATCCTGACGCCTTTGAAAGAAATTAGGTTAACCGTTTTATTTCTAATTGCAATTTAGTCCTTCTATTTCTAGTAAATCTCAAACCTTGTCCCAGAAACAGGCCTATCAATATATGACTAAGTTTAGTTCTTCGTTTCCGCGAATTTGTTAAATAAGGATTTTTTTTTTTTTTAAGATTTCTTTTAACTTTTAAATTTTATTTTCTATTTTTATAAATAAATATATTATTTATAAACTTTATTTTTAAAAACTAAATAATCATTATACGAGAATTAACTAATTTAATGTGATTTTAAATAAAAAATTAAAATTACTTGTAAGTAAAAATGGAATATAATTTGGTCTAATTTGATGAAATTTAAATAATGAAAGGCATAATAATTACGTTTTAACCTTTACCCTATTTTTGAACGACAGAGCGAAACAAAGACATCATGTCGTTCAGGCAGAAATTGGGCTAAGCCCATCCGTAGAAAGCAGCCCAATAACGAAATATGAACGTCATGTCGTCCAGTTATCAAGGCAAATTATAAAAATGTTGTCAGAAGTGGGATTTGAACCCACGCCCTCTTTCGAGGACCAGAACTTGAGTCTGGCGCCTTAGACCACTCGGCCATCCTGACAATTTTGTACAATAATTTACACATAAAATAATCGATAGTTTAATAATTTCATCGATTTTGTTGGCCTTTTGCTTGGATTTGGCGGTTCTTCGGAGATGGTGAAATCTTCGGTCTTCGTTGTGTAATCTTGTACTCTTCCTTCCTCCCACCGTCGCCCCCAATTCAATTCAGTTCGGCCTGTTTCCGCCGTAGAGCGACGGAGGGAAGCTGATGTTGACGCGTAGAATTCCTTCCGTGGCAGTTTATCTCCCGCAAGCTCTGCCATGGCGTCGTGGGCTACCTCATTCAATCAACACCAGGACGCCGCTTGAATTCCACTCATTGCTCTCTTTTTGCCCTAAAACTTGTTTACTTTCCTTTTGTTCCGCTTCACAATTCTCCTCCGAAGTTGCTGAACCAACTCATCTGGATGATTCCTCGAAGCGTGTAAGATCACGAACCAATCCCTTCCTTATAACTTTTTCTATATGGCCATTGTTAATCATGCAAAACCTAGAGCTTAATTCCTGTTATTTATTTGCTTAACTCTTTCCTTGTGGCTAGAATGAACATAGAATGAACCGCAAAAGCTCAATGTGTGTTAATGGTATGTTTAATCTTTATATATATTCTTAACAGTAATGTTTTGCCTCTCCATGTTGATACTTGTATTGGATTCAACTACAAAACTTGCTATATCTGTCTCATTTTGTACTGGATTGTATACAAGTTATTGTAACTTCTTAAGTCCTTTAATGAAAATATAGATATATTCTGTCCGCTTTCTTGGTTTAGGATTTCTACGTAGTTTTGTAATGTTTGACAGGTATCCTTGTCCTTGCAGGGTCCCCTGAAACCTGGGTTATATATAGTTAGCACACCAATTGGTAATCTTGAAGATATCACCTTACGGTATGAAATTTTGATAGCAAGCCCCAACATTAATATTGTAAGATCCCATATCGGTTGGAGAGGGGAACGAAGCATTCCTTATAAGGGTGTGGAAATCTCTCCCTAGTAGACGCGTTTTAAAATCGTGAGGCTGATGACAATACGTAACAGACTAAAGTGGACAATATCTGTTAGCGGTGAGCTTAAGCTGTTATAAATGGTATTAGAGCCAGACATTGGGCAGTGTGCCAGCGAGGATGTTGGGGCCCGAAGGAAGGTGGATTGTGAGATCCCACGTCGGTTGGAAAGGGGAACGAAACATTCCTTGTAAGGGTGTGGAAACCTCTCCCTAGTAGACATGTTTTGAAATCATGAAGCTAACGACGATATGTATAGAAGGCCAAAGCGGACAAAATCTGTTACTTTCTTTTCAACGTATGTATGTATACACTGAAAGTTTGGCAACCAACACGAATATATATATATTTTTTCTTTCAAAATGATATGTACACATATAAACGCATGATTTGGAAAATGGACTTTATGTCTTGTGATATTTCTAACTGAGTCACTACCTTAAGTAGGATGTTAATTTCCATGTTTCAAGATTTTTGCATTTATATTGTTCCTTATTTCAATTGTTCAGTTCTTTTGAATAATCAGTCTCTTTATGCCCTTAAAATTCTATTATACAGTGCTCTACGTGTCTTAAAATCAGCAAACGTCATTCTTTCGGAGGATACAAGGCACTCAGGAAAGTTGCTTCAACATTTCAGTATTAAAACCCCTCTTGTAAGTTTGTTGATGCATTTGTTTGCTGATATATCAGTTTTCTTTTCGTTCTCCATTTGTTCTGATGAAGACTTTTAGATTTCAGTTGAGTTTTCACAAATTCAATGAGTCTCAAAGGGAGCAAACAGTTTTGAAGAGGTTAAAAGAGGGTGAAATTGTTGCACTAATTAGTGACGCGGGGACTCCAGGCATTAGTGATCCTGGTACTGAGTTGGTGAGCATGCTCGTTCTTCCTTAATATTTTAATGATTTAATTATGAATGGTGGTATTTATATAATTGTACCATGTGAATACAGGTAAGACAATGTGTCAATGCAAGCATACCCGTTGTTCCTATTCCTGGACCCTCTGCTGTCATTGCTGCTCTTTCTGCCTCTGGCTTGTCGACCGATGAATTTACCTTCGGTAAAATTTGTACCGGTTCTTGTACTTGTGCTGTGAGGGCACCTTTGTTTGAGATTTTTTGGCCCTTTGGCTATGGCTTCCTTCAGGCTCACAACAGTTTCTCAATAAGTAAATTTGTGCAGTTGGATTTGTTCCTAAGCATGCTGCATCTAGAAGAGAGAGGCTGATGGTTTCAGCAAATGAGGAGGCGACGCAAATATTCTATGTTCCTCCGCACAAAGTTAAGCAGTTTCTCGAGGAAACTTCATCATTATTTGGTGAATCAAGGTACTTCATATATGTCTATCTCTAATCTGTTAACTTATATGTAATAGTCCAAGCCCACTGCTAGTAGATATTGTCCTCTTTGAGCTTTCCCTTTCGGGCTTCCCCTCAAGATTTTTAAAACGCGTCTGTTAGGAAGAGGTTTCCACACCCTTATAAAGAATAATTCGTTTCCGTCTCCAACTGACGTGGGATCTCCCAATCCCACCCTCCTTCGAGGCCCAGCGTCTTCACTGGCACTCGTTCCTCTCTCCAATCGATGTGGGATCTTACATTATATTTCTTCCAATGTATCAGTGCAGTTCACCACTATCTGCTTCTATCTATATCATTCATTTACTGATGA